GGCTCTGTATTTTACCCCAAAAATCACTGTGCTCAAGATTTTCATTGAAAACACAGAGCATCAGCAGGTTCCAGGCCGAGGCAGCTTGGCCACTGGTTGCGGAAATGCTTTCACCCAGCTCATGGAACCTCTACAAACAGAGCCGTCCGGAGACTCCGAGACCGTCGAATCCTGGGAATCCAGTGCCGCCTAAATGCAATGGTGCCCCCTGGATGCTGAAGGTATGAGAGCAACAACATTCCCTTATTTTACCGAAGTGGGTTCCTATCACCTGCAACCAAATGAGTTATATCTCGTAGGCTGCAACTTGGAACCTACACTGAGTTGGCACCGGAGTCAATATGACCAGTAAGGTGGGGTCGACACAGGATGAGAAAATGGTATTATAAGCAAAGACAAATAACAAGTGAGAACTCCACGTCCATGGCTGGCTTGGCCGCTAGCTGGCAAGGTGCTTTCGGCCCTTCACACCCACTTTGGGTCTCTGATGTTCAGTCTGTAAAACAGGAGGTTGGACCAGCTGATCCTCTAGCATCCTTCTAGCTCTGAGATGCTGTGGTTCATCAGGAGCAGTAGATGGGCCTTTCTAGTTTCTGGCTCCCGCAAGCAAATGTGGCATAGTAGGCATCCCGGTCATCTGCTCCTGTCTCCTGGCTGGACAACCAGCAGAAATGTGGACCCTGACCTGTGGAAAGCCCCGGGTCTGCCATGGCCCCAAGGGCTGTGACACCAGCATCTGCTGCAAGCGGCCTCATGCACAGCAGGGTAGTGGGGTTAACGGATGGCAGGGAGAATTAATTGCATGTGAAATGCCCATAAATAATTAGAATGTCAGCTGCACAGCTCCCTTCCACCCTCAGGCTGTGGTATCATACATATATGGGCAAATCTCAAACAGACCCACACACATAATCTGCAATTAATTAGAAGCACATAGCCACTGAGAGGGCACAGGCAGATCTCACACCAGGATGACTGGCACCAACTCTATGCTGCCCTGCTCTGCACCTCGATGCTGTGATGTCTGTCGCACAGAACACGAGCTCTGTGTCACCAAGATGGACTGGATTCCAGTCACAGCTCTGCTACTGACCGCCTGTGCAGCCATGTGTGTGTCAAGCGACCTCTCTGGCTCTGTTCCGCCACCTCTGAAATGGGCATGATGGCACCTGCCATCCACCTACAAGGTTATGGAGGTGGATCAAGGAGAGGGCGTGAGGTGCTCTGTCAATGAAGGATGCGAGGCTAATGCCTGCTAAGCAGTCACCCCTCCAGCCACGCCTCAGTCCCAGACAGCAACGGGAGAAGCAGAATGATGCTACCAAGTTTATAGCCCAGGCAAGTGAGGCCCAAACAGGTAGCGTGACAATCAAGAGACACCCAGCACACAGGAGGCCAGGAAACAGTGGAAATCGCTTGGCTGTCCTGACACCGAGCCCGCCACACTGTCTGTGAGCACCGTTTCCCGTCACTGACGCCAAAGGCCATGAGGATTCCCTCCAGGTCCCCCGGATGGCAGAGAGTAGAGCTGCTCTCTAACCTTGGGAGGAAT